CAGACTGTGAATGGCTGGGGCGCCTTCCATCATAACCCTCATCACCGCCTTCACACGCCCTCTTCATCCCCCCCAAACCCCTCGCGCCCTCACTTCAAAAGCGGCGGGGGGGGCCCGATGACCCCCGCTGTGCCCCACGTGCTCTACATGGTGAAGATTGCCAATGAACCGGACAACGGCCGAATGACCCGCCGCGCGACCCCTGGCAGCCATGCCCCTCCTTAACAAAAACCTGCCCCCTTTTTGTGGCCGCCGCGCTCGCCGCCGCGAACGCCCGGACCCCTCTGGTTATCCCATCCCAGGTCGATGATCTTGCAACGAGTTCGGCCAGCTACTTACGGAGGCCTACAACCCGAAGAAGACGCTCAAGCAGATCGACGACCTCAGCACCAAACGATCCGGGGAGATCTATAGCGACAGCAACGGCCTGGTGACGCACATCAAGTCTGACGTGGGTCAATCCACGGACAAGCGGTTCCGCATCGTGGCATCAATTATCAAGGAGACGGTGCACCCCAACAGCCAGCTGAAGCTCTCGTGGATACCTACGTGGAGTATGGTCGCCGACGCGCTCACCAAGATCATGGAGACCGGAGTGCTCCTCGCTTTCTTCGGGGCCAAGAAGTACAACTTTGGCACTAGGCAACCGCACGCCGCCATGCTTGCCTCAGTGCTGATGACATGTCTCGGACGCGTGAAGGCACAGCATCCCCCACAGGAATGGCAAGTGCCGATGTCGCATTGGATCTACTACATGACATTCATTGCGATGCTCAGTGGGATCATGATTGGATTTACATTGTTCGCAGCGCTGTGGTTTGTGGTGCGAAAGGAGATATTTGGGCCAGGCGACCCCAATCCCATCCAGATCGGGACCATCAACAACACCAGCAATGGGTCCAAGGCCGACCACACCGGGCACGCGGACACTCCCTTGCCCGGAGTATATCCAGGATGGGATGGACGATACCTTGGACGTCGTAACAACGTACAGCCTACCATTCCCGAAGACGTCGACGGAGATGTCTACATGGAGCCGCCGATGATTGCCGTCGCAGCCCAGAGTTCATCATCAGCAAGCGGATCGGCAGCGCCAGCCGCACCGCCCCCATCACCGGACAGCTTCGCGCAGGGAGCGAGCTCTGCGCCATCATCGCCGATGACGGTTCACAGTTCCTCGTCAGCCAGTGTGGTTTCGTGGAACGGATCGACGCCAACGGTTTCGCCATCAGAGATGAACGCATGTGTGGCCGCCGAGCACAACATACGTGTGGGACACAACACACATAGTGTCTACATAACCTGCAGGACGTGCAGGAAGCATGCGTCATGGCTTCGCAGGAATCACATGACCCATGAGCCAGACTTTTCGAGGATGCACAATAGTCTGCGCTGGGATTTACAGAATAGATGGAGGCAGCTACAAGGACTGCCCGGCAAGGCGAAAGCTCAAAAGAAGATTTCGTGACGCACGCCGCCGCTCTATAACTGGCGCCACATCCTGTGGCAGATTACGTTAGTCCGCATCGCTCTGTCAGCTCGTTTTCTTTACACCTGGAGCCACATCGTGTGGCAGACTACGTTAGTCCGAATTGTCTTACCAGCTCGTTTTCTTTACATTTGGCGCCACATCCTGTGGCAGATTACGCTAGTCCGCATTGCTCGAAGCTTTATTCAGTGTGCACAGTCTTTCTTTTATGTGGTGACGACCACACTATTGAGATTTTATCTTGATAAGATAGCGCTATTTGAGTTTTGTCGCATAGCGATCGGACTCGCGCCGCTGTTTGCTTTGAGAATTTATGTATTTCTTGCCGGTGCGTGTAGCAGCACCCGTTAAATACCCTGGGGCAGCCGGATAGCATGCCGACAAGGCCGTTTGCCTGTGTTTGATTTGGAGCGCTCTGATTAATGAAGTGAGCTGCGATCGATGATCGTCGCTCGACGGCGCCGCGAGCGTCAATCAGGAGGAGTGTGATTCCCGCTCACTCCCCGTGCCCTTCCTGCTCCTTCCCTGCTTCCCCGCTCTATCCCTCACGCCCGCCTTGTCGCCGCCATTTTGTTTCAAACTAGGGCCCTTGGCCTTAGAGCTACGCAGAGAGTTTCGCCGCGCGATTCCTCGACAAACGATATCAGCGATATCCATATCACACTTTGGGCCTCTTGGGGGTCTCCTGGGGCCTCTTGAGGGGCCTCCTTGGGGCCTCCTGGCGGCCTCTTGGGGCGGAAGGCTCGAGCTTGCGGTTCGTCCCCCTCTGGGCCCCCTCTTGGGCCCGTCTTGGGGCCCTCTTGGGCCATCTTGGGCGCCTCTTGGGCCGTCTTGGGGCCCTCTTGGGCTGTCCTGGGGCCCTCTTGGAAGCTTCTTGGGCCGTCTTGGGGCGGTCTTGGAGGCCTCTTGGGCCGTCTTGGACGCGGTGAAAGCCCAAGATGCGAACATGCGAAAAATATACGTTTTCCCATAGGAATGGCACGATTTTTGTTTCTTGGACCTCTCTTGGGGTGCCTCTCGGAACGTCTTGGGCTGATTTTGGAAGCCTTTTGGCGCCTCTGGGCGGCGTTTTGGCGCCTCCTGGGATATGTTGGGCCGGAAGCTCGGAATTCGAGAGTGGCTTTCTCCTTCTGGGACCCCTCTCGAAGTCGTCTTGGGGTTCTCTTGGGCCGTCTTGAGGCCGTCCTGAGCCACTCGTGCGCAGCCTTGGAGCGCTCCCGGAGGCCTCAAAGCAGTACTGTAACAATGGAAACTGGAAACTGGAGCTGGCACAGGGAGCAGCAACCTTAAGCCTCGCAGCCTGATGGCCCCGCAAGGGGGCTGGCGGATCTGTATAGAAATATACCGTGTCATATCATACTATATATATATATATATATATATATATAGATATATGTATCAGGGTGCGGGGGCCGAACGGTCATTCATTGTCCCTGGGTGCGTGGCTGAAATGGAAATCCGTGGTGCGGATTCTGCCTGTTGCGTTGTTGTTGTTGTTGTTGTTGCTGTTGTTTGTGTTGCTGTTGTTGTTGCTGGTGGTGTTGTTGCTGTTGTTGTTTATTGTCGTCGCCACACCCGCGACCCACCCGCGACCCACCCCGCGACCCACCCGCGACCCACCAACGACCCAACCCGCGACCCACCCGCGACCCACCCCGCGACCCACCCGCGACCCAACCCGCGACCCACCCGCGACCCACCCCGCGACCCACACCGCGACCCACCCCGCGACACATCCGCGACCCACCCGTGACCCACCCGCGACTCACTTGCGACCCACCCGCGACCCATCCCGCGACCCACCCGCGACCCACCCGCGACCGATCCACATTTGCCTTGAAGAAAAAATCGGCGCCTGCGGCGGGCTCGTTGTATAATTTGTAAATGTTTGGCGCCTGCGGCGAGCTTCTCCACAGTCTCGCAGACTGCCGACGTCCCTACCGCCCTCCCACTCTTATCCGCATCTGCTGGGTGCTACGTGTATACATATATACACACAGATAAAGAGATATCAAAAGACTGATATGAAGAGAACTGGAGTGGACTGGGGTAGACTGGGCTGGGTTAGGGTGGGCTCTAAGTCACTTTACTTTACTCTACTCTGCTCTACCCTACTCTGTTTCACCGACTCTACTACTACTCGACCACCTGGCCTATTCTACGGTACTCTACTCTGGTTTACTCTACCCTACCCTGCCATACTCTACTCCTACGGTTCTCTACTCTAGTTCGTCCCGGCTCTCCTCTGACATACACTCGTCTACTCTACTCTACTCTGCTCTACTCTACTCTTCCCTACTCCACTCTATTCTAGCAGATTATGCTCATCTCTACTTGACTATATTCTGACGTCAACTCACCCCACTCTAGCTCGACCCGTTCTACTCGACCCTACTCCACTCTACCCGACCCTATCCCACCCCAATTTGCTCTTGCTCGGTTCTACACCTACTCTACTCTATTCTACACCTAGTCTACAACTACTCCACTCTACTTTGCGCTGCTCTGCTCTATTCCACTCTGTCCTGGTCTACTCATCTACTCGTCTCTACTTGACTTTGCTCTTCTCTGCTTTACCCTACTCTACTCTACTTTCGCGATTGGCGGTTGTTTGACAGTTGTCGGGGCGTCATTGGGATAGCCACAGGAAGCCTTGCGGATAAAGAAGAAGCCATGCGGATAATACGGATACAGAGGACGCCATGCGGATAGCAGAGGAAGTCATGCGCAACAGGGGAAGCCATGCGCAGTAGATGACGCCAGCAGATGAAGCCATGCGCAACAGAGGAAACCATGCGCAAGAGAGGACGCGTGCAAAGGCAACATTGAAAGCCATGCAGGTAGCGGGGGGAGCCATGCGCAACAGAGGACGCGTGTAGGGGCAAAATACAAGGGTGGGTGTCAGTGAACCAACTTCTCTAAGAATGAAGCTAGGGCTCCCATAAACAAGCCTATTTGGAGAAACTGTTTACTTTCAACGACCGATCGGTAGACTGGCCAACCGTTCCCGATTCGGCGCGTTCCATCAGCTGCGCCTCGCCGACAGCCCTCTGGGGCCGCCAGAGATCACTCCGAAGTGCCCCGAGTTACTGCATGGCCTGACGGCCAGAGAGGCGAGGGGAAACTTGGCGGCGCGCCTAGGGCTCAGAAGGCCTTCGAGAAGCTTCTGCGAAGGCACAGACGGATTTTCGGAAGGCCAGAGGGTTTCTGAGAAGTCCCGCCGCCTTCTGAGAAGGCCTACCCCCGCTCATTTCCTCCCCTCGGCGTCTCGCCGAGCTTGGTCTTCGGGTCATAGCTCGTGTCTCCAGCGGCCGCCTGGGGCAACCCGGGTACCCCGAGAACGCTCTTGGCGAGGCGCAGCTGCTGGAAATCGCCCCGAGTGGGACACTTGGGGAACCGACGAAAACCTCGCTTCTCCTATGGGCGCGCCGCCGAGTGTAGTCGAGGCGATTGACGCCCTCGCAGACGTCGGCACGCCTCGTTGGATCGATCGGATCGTTGACAGCCGCGCCTCGGTGTTGGACGTGTAGTTCCTCTCGAGCGCCCTCAACCCGTCCCTCGCCTTGTCCAGCAGGTCGGTGTACCTAAACGGGGATAGAAAAACGTAGCGAAGCAAGGGCAAACATGCTGTGATGCCCCTCCTCCTCCTCCTTCTCCTCCTCCTCCTCCTGCTCCGCATCCTCACCCTTCTACCACCCATGTTTCCTGTTCTTTCTCACCCTCGTTCTCTCTACCCCTCCTCTCACTCACCCTTCCCCTTGCCATCTCCTTTCTCCCAAACCTTCCTCCTTCGCTGGTTTTTTTCTCGTTTCCCCCATTCTCTTTCCCCTCAGGGGATGCCACAGGAGAGATGAAGAGGATGAGGCAGAGACATGCGAGTGGACGGGAGACGGGAGGGTTGGACGGAGTTGGAAAAAGCGGTTTGCCGAAAACCCGCTACCCTCATCCAATATGGGGCCCTCCTTCTGGCCCCCTCTTGACCCTCCCCGCCCCGCTCCCGCTGAAATTTCGGAAACTTGAAAGGGAGTGGGGCACCGTTGCGGACCAGGGGTGAGCGATTCGAGGAGGCACCAAAGTAACGCCCGGAGAACGGGGGTGCCGACGTTCGAAAAAATCGGGCGTGCTCAATGTATAAGTGAGAGTGAGGGGGCCGAACGGTCATTCATTGTCCCTGGGTGCGTGGCTGAAGTGGGAATCCGTGGTGAGGATTAGGCTTGTTGCGTTGTTGTTGCTGCTGCTGTTGTTGTACACTCATAATAATATTGTTGATCCCCCTCACCAATGCATACTGTTTTTCTCAATCAAAATGCGCCCCTCGACGCTCGCACCCTGTTTTTTGACAAGGAAAATCTTGATGCTCAAACTGCGCCCCTGGCCCCCCGGATTACAACAACAACCGCGCCCGCCTGAGACATCCTCGACATTTCCTCAGGACCCCCGCTCCCGTCTGAGAACTCTTCACAATTTATTATGGATCGGTGCTCCCGCCTGTGACTCCCTCGCAATTTAATCAAGACCCCCGCTCCCATCTGAGACTTCCTCACAATTTACGCAAGAACGGCGCTCCCGTTTGAGACTTCTCGCCATACTCAGGCATCCCGCTTGAATGTCCCACCCGCCCGACTCGCCCGTCAGGGGATCGCCCGCCCGTCGTGGGTTCCCGCCCGAGACTTCCTTCAAGAACGGCACGTTCGTCTAGGACTTCCTCGCACGTTCACGCTCTTACCTTCCTGCTCCTCCTCCTCCCTCTCCCTCCTCCCTCCTCCCTCTTATCCTCCCTTCTCTCTCCCTCCTCTCTTCCTTCATCATTATGCCTCTCTGCCCTATCCCCTCTCCCTCCTCTCCCTCCTCCTTTCTCCCTCTCCTGCCTCCTCCCTCCCTCTTCCTTTCTCTCTGTATCCCCCCTCTCTCTCTCTCGTTATCTCTCTTATATGTTTGTCTCTCTCTCTCTCTCTCCCTCTCTCTCTCTCTGCCTCTAATCAACCGCTCTTCGTTCCTTCTCTCCTGGCGTTTTCCTTCTTCCTTCGTCCCTCCCCCTCCCTTCCTCCCGCTCTCCCTCGTTCTCCCCCTCCTCTTGTTGCAGGGCCCACACCAATTCCAATGGCGGGCACATGTAAGCCCACGAAGGAGTGTCCACCCGTTCAGGTTTGTCCGCCTGTCTAACCCCGCCGCCCCCCGCAAAGAGAACAACAAATCCAAAGGGGCGTGATCGAAAGGCGGGTATCGAGGGTGTGGGGAACTCGTTTTGAATGACACACGGGCAAGAGCGAACAGTCTTAGAATGACTGTTGTTGTTGAACTCGCATTTCTGAAAAATAATTTATGTTGATCCCACCTCGCCGGTGCATGGTGTTTTTTCTTAATCAAGGTGTGCCCCTCGACGCTCGAACCCTGTTTTTGACGGGGAAAATCTTGATGCTCAGGCTGCACCCCTGGCCCCCGGGTTACAACAACAACAACAACAACAACGGCTCCCGCCTGAGACTTCCTCACAATTTAGCCAGGACCCCCGCTCCCGCCCGAGACTTCCTCGCATTTCATTCAGGAGTCGCGCTCTCGCTTGGGACTTCCTGACAATTTATTCAGGAATCGCTTTCCCGGCGCTCTGGAGTCGCGCTCTCGCTGGAGACGCGCTTGCAATTTATTGAAAAGTAGCGCCCTTGCGTTGGAATTTCCTGCAATCTGCTCAAACGCCGCGCTCCCGACACCCATGCGCCCGTTGTGGCCCCATGTGCACGCCCTTCGTGGCCCCGCTGTCGCCGTGTGTGGCCCCCTCGCTGTCCTACGTGGCCCAGTTGCTACCCTCAGTGGCCCCATCGTTGCCTTCTGTGGCCCCGCATCAACTGCCCTTCGTGGCCCCCGCTCGTTCGCGCTCTTCGTGGCCCCATACGCATTCCTTTCGTGTCCCCGCTGTCGCCGTTCGTGGCCTACTTCGTGTCCCTCGTGGCCCTGCTGTCGTTCTCTCTCGCTCTCGCTTTCGCTCGTCGTCGCTGTCGTCGTCGTCGCCGTCGTCGTTGACGTCGTCGTCGTCGCCGTCGTCGTCGTGGTCGGTCCCTTGTCCGTCCCTCGACGGTCCGCGGCCGCCCCGCCGATCAGCGCTGCCGCTGGCCAGGCCGACGGTCCGCGGCCGCCCCGCCGCTTGCCGGGGCCCGGCCTGCAGGGAAGAAAAGTATACCCCCCAAAAGGGGTTCGATCGAAGACGAAGAGGGCGGGTATCGAGGGTTTGGGAAATACGCGTTATTGGACACTCGAGCAGATAAGGGCGAACAATATTAAATGATTGCTGTTGTTGTTGTTGTTGTTGTTGTTGAACCTTAATTACTAAACAATTATTATTGTTGGACCCCCTATATTCGCCCTGGCGCTCTCGCCGAGGCGCCGGCCGCATTTCCTCTGAAATTGAGGCTCACGCTCAGGCGTTTTGGGGTTCCGCCAAAACCGGCCCCCCAACAACAACAACGCTCCGGCTCGAGACTTCCTCCTTTTTTACTCGGGCTCGGTGCTCTTGCTCGCCGCCGAGAGCGGCTCCCGGGCCAGACGCCCGGGTCGGCGCCCGAGCCGGCGCCCGGGCGCCGGAAAATCGAGTTCCGAGGCGGCGCCGAAAAAAGGCCATTCCGAAAGAAAAATGCTGAATTTCTGCTCCCGGCACAGGCCGTCCGGGCCGATTCCGGAGCTCGGGCCGGCACCCGGCCCGGCTCCCGGGCCAGACGCCCGGGTCGGCGCCCGAGCCGGCGCCCGGGCGCCAGAAAATCGAGTTTCGAGGCGGTGCCGAAAAAAGGCCATTTCAATACACATTTTTCTTTCGAAAGTGCTGAATTTCTGCTTCCGGCGCCCGGGAGGCCGTCCGGGCCGATTCCGGAGCCTGGGCCGGCACCCGGCCCGGCTCCCGGGCCGGACGCCCGGGTCGGCGCCCGAGCCGGCGCCCGGGCGCCGGAAAATCGAATTCCGAGGCGGCGCCGAAAAAAGGCCATTCCAATACACATTTTTCTTTCGAAAATGCTGAATTTCTGCTTCCGGCGCCCGGGAGGCCGTCCGGGCCGATTCCGGAGCTCGGGCCGGCACCCGGCCCGGCTCCCGGGCCGGACGCCCGGGTCGGCGCCCGAGCCGGCGCCCGGGCGCCGGAAAATCGAGTTCCGAGGCGGCGCCGAAAAAAGGCCATTCCAATACACATTTTTCTTTCGAAAATGCTGAATTTCTGCTTCCGGCGCCCGGGAAGCCGTCCGGGCCGATTCCGGAGCTCGGGCCGGCACCCGGCCCGGCTCCCGGGCCGGACGCCCGGGTCGGCGCCCGAGCCGGCGCCCGGGCGCCGGAAAATCGAGTTCCGAGGCGGCGCCGAAAAAAGGCCATTCCAACACACATTTTCTTTCGAAAATGCTGAATTTCTGCTTCCGGCGCCCGGGAGGCCGTCCGGGCCGATTCCGGAGCTCGGGCCGGCACCCGGCCCGGCCGGCACCCGGCCCGGCTCCCGGGCCGGACGCCCGGGCAGTTCCGATCGCGCCGAAAAGAGGCCATTCCAATACACATTTTTCTTTCGAAAATGCTGAATTTCTGTTCGCGGCGCCCGGGAAGCCGTCTTGGGCCGATTCTGGAGCGGCTTTGGGCCGGGCGCCCGAGCCGGCGGCCGTACGTGGTGCTTCTCTGCTTCTGGCGCCTGCGCAGCTTCCCGAGCCGCTTCTGGAACCATATCTGGGCCGGTCCAGCGATAGGTTTCCTGGATGCGCTGAACCATCCAACTTTTTCAGACTTCTGCGTCTCAAGGATAGGGAGAGAAGACATTAAAGGAGGATCAAAAAGCAACGTCGCTATGAACGCTTGGCTGCCACAAGCCAGTTCTACTTACTTGGACTACCACTACCGTTAACAATACTACTATAGTGCTGCAGCCGCAATAACAATATCATCAACTGCTGCTACTACAACTACTCATCCTTCCTCCCCCTCCTCCCCCTCCCTTCTCCTCCTCCCCCTCCCTATCTCTCTCATCTCCCCCTCCTCTTCCTCTTCCTCTTCCTCTGAGATGCGGGGCATGCGCAAGGCGATTGCGAAGGCGATGTGCCGTCCGAGCTATGGATGTTGAAGTTCCTCGGAAAAGGTGGTGGCCAAACCTTCTTGGGCGGGATATCTGGGTGAGGGAATATCGGATCCCGCATGCCAGAAAAATCCCCCATGATGGGGCGTGTTATCCAGATGGATGCATGTGTCATGTGGAAGCATGGCGCATGAGGGTAAAATGATTGTTGTTGTTGTTGTTGTTGTTGAACTCTCATTCTTGAAGAATAATTATTGTTGATCCCCCCCCACCGGTGCACATTGTTTTTTTTCGATTGAAGTGCCATCCCCGGGGCTCGCACCTGGTTTTTTCTCAAGGAAAGTCTTCCTGCTCAAACTGTGCCCCTGCCCCCCGGGCTACAACAACAACGGCTCCCGCCTGAGACTTCCTCGGTTTTTACTCAGGACCCCCGCTCCCGCCTGAGACTTCCGCGCAATTTACTCAGGAAAGGCGCTCCCGTCTGAGACTTCCTCGCAATGTAATCAAGACCCCCGTTCCCGCTTGAGACTTCCGTGCAATTTACGTGGGAACGGC